ACAAACCCTGCCTTTTTCACTTAAACAAGCACATTTATACTCCCCTTGAAACTGGTAAAGAAGCATAAACCTGACTTGCATAATCAATGACTTGTCTAATCAAAACACTGTAAACATGATTTATTATTCCCATCACACTCTGCACCATCCTTCCCCGATTGCTGCACTCTAAGCAGCAGTATTTCTTACCAAACATTCCACGTTCCTATAATTTAGCTATTATCTTAATAATGGAGGGGCTTCCTCCCTTTCCACCCCCTGCCTCCTCTCAGGCATCCTTGCAGTCATCTTTACAACCATGAGAAACTCAGACAGATGGCTGCAATTGCTAATATTTATAGGAGGTAGGCAGGGATACTTCTCTCAAATACTTCCGTAGCTTTCTTGCAGCCTCAAATGACCACAGCTGTTACGCTTATGACTGGTGTCCAGTGTAAACATATTAAGAAGAGTGACGTCTTCTCTAAACTGGTGGAGTCATAACAGCAAGTAGCCTTTCTGTATAAACTGAATTTCTCTGTCACGTGTATACGAAGATGGAATTGTTGCCAACTACTGAAAGGTCTTCGAAGGCTTCTTGTGGATACACAGGTCTTAAAGAGCTGGTTCACATATGAATATTTTGCAATACCCATTGATGACTTATGTGGGGGTGCTGCATTTTTTGTTTTCTAATATAGAAAACAATGAAGCACAGTCAGGTAAGGCTGGGGAGGGAAGGCAAGTTTATCTACATGCAGTGTTTTTCTTTTAAACAAGCTTCTCCCACCCCTGCTTTAGACAGGTGCATATGGGTCTCCCATCGTATCTAGTTTGGCCCTGATGTAATGTCCAGGCCTTGTTTGCATACATTAGCCATTTGTCATGAAACAGAGCACTGAGTCCCCTTCTCATTAGACAAACAGGCTGAAGACTCAGATGAAAGGGAAACTGAGTACCTGGGAGCACTCCAGAAAGAGGCAGCTGTGATGCTTCCAGGAGCCCCCCTTTGAGGTTCAGGGGGTGTCCCAGGAGACTGGATCAGCTCTTTTGCCCTGGGATACAGACCAGCCTTCCTTTTCAGGCTCAGGCACTCAAATCTGACCCCCACCCCAGAGCCTGCTGCACATCCTCAGATCCCACAAGGCCAAGAACTACCTCAACCTTGTCAGCACTTATTGCTATAACTAGGCATGGTGCCTTTAAGAACCAGTAACTTGCTCCTAGAGAGGCAGGGCTTGCATTGCTACCTCCTTGCAGAGACATTTAAGTTCTTAATCCACTCTCAACCTTTGCTGAGACAACAGCTAAGCCTTTTGTAAGTGTCAGCCTCACTAACTTGACTCCTTAACACTGGCTTTACTCATCTCTAGGAAAGAGCAAAAGTCTAATAGCACCTAAAAGTCTAATGACTTCTCTGGCAGGGTATGAGCTTTCTTCTGAAGAGTCGAGCAGTGACACACAAAAGCTCATACCTTGCCACAAATTTTGTTAGTCTTTATGGTGCTACTGGACTCTTGATCTTTTTGACGGCTACAGACAAACAGCGTAATTTTTCTCATCTCTGTAATCCATCTTCTACCTTTGCTCTGCATTTCTACTAGAAACCACCCATGTTTCCAAGGAGCTAACAGCAGGATATGTGCATCCAACATTTTATCCTCACAACAACCCTGTGAGGTAGGTTAGGTTGAGAGACTGCGACTGCAAGGTCACCCAATGTGTTTCACTGCTGAATGGGGAGTTCAACCTGAGCCACCCCAATCCTGGTCTTATACGCTAATAGTTTCTCCACACATCGAGCTGTGAGTTTAGAGCTAGGAGCTAAGAAAAAAAATTGAACAAATCTATCTACAGCTATAAAATGGCACGAAAAACCAAACAGTTATGAGAAAAATGCCAAATCACACTGTGGACTTAAAGTACGGAATATACAGAATATGAAAAATAGAGCAGTTTTGTGTAAGCACAGTCTGCAGGAAGCTTGCTTTTATAAGCAGAAAATTGGACGTCTGCTTAATGAAGAACATTTGTCCTGATCTGAATATCTTGTCAGTTATAATAATTCTTTTCAGCTCCTCAACCGTTGTGACATCCTAGAAGAATTATTTTCTAAGAAATATGATCAAAAAGTCTATAAAAATCAAACAAAGAATTTACTGGGCCAGATTCTAAATGCAGGAAATTGTGAGGAAAAATGCAAGCAAAAGGAACAGAAACCTACTAGCCATGAGATATAACTTCAACTCAGCCTATTGATTCTGACACAAGTGACTTAAGGCCGATTTATGAAAAATCTTTACAATAGGAAGACTCTGCTTTTCATTATTTGGTTCAATCACCAAAGCAGATGCAGTGCTTCAGTAATTGCAGCTGATTGTACCCAGGGAGGGGCAGTGGCCCAGTCCTTTGCATGTAGAAGGTACCAAGTGGAATCCCTGGTATCTTCTGCAGACCACTGGCAGTCCTAGACATTACTGACCTCGATAGATCAAGGGTCTGACTCAATATGAGGCAGATTCACATGTCCATGTGACTCACTGTTGTTTCAGGATGGGAAATGCCAGCCAGAATATCTACCTGCAAGGGAGGGAAGGATCAAGTTTTGGGGTGAAATTTTAATGCAATTAATGATTTAATAGCTACCAAACTGAAAACGCAGTCCTTTGAAAGCAACAGAAACAGGGGTATGGAGGAGGTGAATTAGGAGTCTCAGACCCAATCCTTAATCTTAAACATTGGCCCCACAGTTAATGCTCATATATGCTGTTTAGAGAAGTCCCAATCTATACACTTTTAATAGAAGTAATGGAGAGCCAGTTTGGTGTAGTGGTTAAGTGTGTGGACTCTAATCTGGGAGAACCCGGTTTGATTCCCCACTCCTCCACTTGCACCTGCTGATGTGACCTTGGGTCAGCTGCAAGCTCTGGCACAGCTGTCCTTGAAAAAGAGCAGTTTGTGTCAGAGTTCTCTCAGCCCCACCCACCTCACAGGGTGTCTGTTGTGGGGAGGGGAAGGGAAAAGGAGTTTGTAAGCCGCTCTGAGACTTCAAGTGAAGGGCGGGGTATAAATCCAATCTCTTCTTCTTCTTCTTCTGTATCATGTGCTTGTAGCCAAAGTTCCACAATGGTCACAATGGTGTCTGAATCCTTTGAAACCATTAAGGTTGGAATTTCCAACACAAAGTAACGGGTGGAGGGCTTACTTCAGTGCTTTACAATTCCTCGCCCAGGATCTGAAATGGATTTCATGATGTACCACATATTACTTTGTAATAATGCATATATCTGCACATTCTTGCACACTTCCTAACCCCAATAGATAGCTCTAAGCATGCACCAACTCAATAAATGCTGCTGACTGATGAATATTCTTGCATGTGCTAAAGCAGCAAATGCATTCAAAACATAACTGGTTTTAAATGATGCATGATCTGCCCATGATGACCCTGTGTCTTGTTCAGTCCAAGGAAAGTTAGTGAATTGTGAGCATACACCAACATTGATTAACCTGGCCAGGTACTATGCTATTGACCCCGCCAATGCAAAATCATTAAAAACGCTACTTATTTTGATTTGCCGAGAAACCAGTATGATTGAATGGGATGTTAAATAGGAGAGAAAACGGTAACTGAGAAAAAAAATCAAATAATCAGTAATCTAGATGTGCATTATTTGCTTCAAGCAACGTTAGGACTTGCCCTGGACCCTATCTTTGCCTTTGATGTCCACTTCCTAGTCCTCTCATGTGTCCTGCAGGCATTGTTTAGCCAATTTTGTAACAGGCTCTGTTTGGGAAGCCTTTCCACCAGTGCTGATTAGAATTCCCACTTCACCCATAAACTGGCTCTGAAATGGTAGGGGGGGGGGATCTCATTTGATTAATCATATAAACTGTGAATTCAACAGGGACATTAAAGGGACATTAAAAGGTGTTTATGGCAACTGATCAAATGAAGTAATCCTCTATATTCATCTTTCAGATACCTTGGGACCACTCTATATGTTACTTTTTATTATATAAAGACTAACCTTTGTATTTGGAAAAGTATGAAGGTCAACCCAAGGGTGTCTTGAACAGGAAGCCATGCCAGAGCTTTGTTTATTTCTTTAGTTTGTAGTCCCCTGATCCAGTTACAGGGAAACCAGCCTAACTGAATTCAGTGAAATTGTCTTCCACGTAATGGATGAGATCTAGTGATCCCCTAATGTGGACAATGCAAGATTGTGCTAATCCATACATTTTTCTCTTCTTAAATTGATTAATAAACTTTTGCTCTCTGCTAAACATACAAAGGCTGCGGTCACATGGCCAGGAAACTGTGGCAGGGAAGCGTGGCAGTTAGCCCCGGGGCAAAAAGCCCTGTGGTTGTGCGACCATACGTTCCATGGAGCTCCCGTCGTGGTTCCGTGGGTAGGGAAGAGGCACCGATCATACGACCATCTTGCTGCGCAGCAAACAAGCGGCGCGATCAGACCAGTAGTCGCGAGGTGCCGCTTCCGTGGCAAGCATGGTATTTTTTCCGCTGTCGATGGCGCGTGTGCATGCAAGATCGTCCGCGCATGTGCACAAATGAAACCCTGGACGGACGGCTGTTACGGGAATGCGAAAGCCAGGTGCTGGGAGCAACGGAGAGGGCGACAGGTGCTACCAGACCCCAATAGCGCCCCGACGGTCAGGCGATGGAGGGGGAGTTGGGCACCCTCAGTACAGCCGCCTGCACTGCCTCCGCGACAGTGGCCATAGCAACCCACCACAGGCAGCAAGTCAGCCAATGGTGGGAGGGGGCCACGGGTGCTGCCAGGACACGGAGGAATGCGATGGCCGCCACAAGGCTAGCCAGGCGTTGATGCCACAGCAGGCGGCGGAATACACGCAGAAGAAGGGAGACGCTCCAGCTACTCCGTCTCTCTGAGGAGTGCCCAAGCCGACGCTGGTGGGTGTACCCAAGAGCCACGGAATGGTGGGCAACCTTCGTCACCCATGTCTGGGGCGATGAGCAGTGGCTCGAGCACTTCAGGATGTCCAGGTAATTCGCCGAGCCCGCATGTCAGTCTCAGTCACGCGCCAATGGCATGCCGGACACATTCAGGAGTGCGGCCACGATCGTCAGGAAGGCCCTCTCCCAGCAGGCGCATGGTGGAGGGATGGGGGTGCAGGCACGATAGGGGCCCAGACATATCCATACCCATGTAATTGCAGGTCAACATTCATGTGGCTGGTGGACGCCCTCCAGGATAGACTGCAGCAACAGCAAACGGTGATGCGCGCACCCGTGTCAGTGGAGGAACGCGTCGCGGTCGGAGTGTGGTGGATGGCCAACATCCAGTCCTACAGAACCATTGGACAGCAGTTCGGTCTTGCGCGGTCCACCGTGGCCGCCATAGTGATGGAGGTTGCACGGGCCATCGCAGAGGAGCTCCACCGGAGAGTGGTGTACCTATGGAACACAGACAGGGTGCGAACGGGAGGGGAGGGGGAGGGAGGCGGCCCGTGGGGCCCAATGGCCCAGCAACCACGAACATGGTGGCTGGCAGGGAGGTGGAGCGGCATCCCCATGGGAGGTGCCACCCCTCGACCATCCCCCACACCGGGGCCCAACTGGGTGGGAGACTCATCACACCATGTGTTTCACTGACAGGTAATGAGGGCCTTCGCCGCCAAGGGTTTCCCCCAGTGCATCGGAGCAATGGATGGGTGCCACATCCGTGTGCGAGTACCTGTCCACCTGGCCCAGTTCTATGTGAACTGCAAGAACTACACCTCAGTACTCCTGCAGGGTACCGTCGATAATGTGGGTCGTTTCGTGGACATAGTTGTTGGGCAAAGTGGCCAAAGTCAGGACGCGCACGTCCTGGTGCGGTCGAGCATCTCGGCCAGGATGGAGACAGGACTCTACGTGCCTGGTAACCCCACCCGCACAATCGAGGGGGTCCCGGTGCCGCCACTCATACTGGCGGATGCAGCATACCCACTGCGACGTTGGCTCATCCCTCCCTACAAAGGCCACCTCAATGCACAGCAGGCACACTTCAACAAGGTGCATGGCAGGGCACGCAATGTGGTCGATCGTGCCTTTGGCCGCCTAAAGGCACGGTGGCGGTGCCTGCTACTGCAGATGCCAGTGGAGCTGAGGAATGTCAAGCCAGTGGTTGCTGCCTGTTGCATTCTGCCCAATGTGTGCGAGGACCGTGGCCATGCGGTCCCAGAAGTGTTCACCGAGGAGGAACGAAGGGCACTTGCAGACGCAGAGGCGGCCCCCCTGGACCCGGACCCACAGATGCCAGACGCTGCAGGCGAGGCGGTGCGTGAGGCCTTGAACGCATGGTTGTGGAGGCGAGCCAGGAGACACTAGTGGGATCACGGCACCCCCACCAATGGCCAACGGCACCCACTGGTGGCGACCTGTCACGGGCCCCAGGGCCCACTGGCACAACAGGGGAGTGGAAAGCCATAATATGAGGTGGGGCGCACAATATACCATTTTCCGACTGCAGGCTCTGTCCCTGGCCCTATTGTCGGCCCGATCCCATGGGGTCGGGGGTCGGGGGGAACCATGGGCCAGGAGGGATGCCCTTGAACACACATGAGCGGGACATGACGAAGAGACGCAACCACTGATGCAATGGGGAGCGTGGTGTGGGCGACATCCAATTGCAAGCAAACATGTACTGGGACAAAGGTTGTGGGGTCCATGAGGATCCGTCGGTCTGAACTGTGCAAAGGCATCATTGGGGGCCACTCAGCCGTGGAACTATAGTCACATGGGTGTGCGGAAACACCCGCCAGCGTCCTTGCGGTCCACGGCAGCAGGCAGCCACCCCTCCGCCCCAACTGGTGCAGGGTCGGGCAGGGCAGTGTAGGTGTGCGAATCGTGTGACAGGGTGCTTGTCTTCTCGCTCGGCGGCAGACACCCCCATCGGAAGGGGGCCAGGGCCCTCCGAATGTCCGTGACCCCCTCCCCCCTCTCCATCCCCGAACACCCCGTAGGTTCCGTCGATGGAAGGGGCTGGCAAGACCCCACCTGGAGCGTGACGACCCGGAAGGAACAAGGCAACCCAGGGAAGGGAGAGGGACGGCGTGCCCCCTGGGGACTGCACGGGGACGGAGACAGGTCAGTACCCCCACGTCCGTGCCGCTGCCTCGTTGGCTGGGACGGCCCGACACCGTCCGGTGCAACAGACCCACTGAGCATTCCATCACACCACTCACTTGCCCTACCCTGCCCCTAGAGCGGACGTCGCCCCGGCACCCCCTTCCAGCCCTAACGTGAGCCGTTCGCCCCGTTCAGCTCACCCCCACCCCGAAGACTGGAAGCGTGCACAGCGAGATGCAGGGACACGCTCCACTGCGCATGCGTGCGCTCGTGTCGCCTTGTGCGCCTGCGAAAGGTGACATAACGCTAGATGAGGCATGCGCATTCCGTCTTGCCACCCGAGACAGCACGCTGCAGTATGGCTTTCTCCAGCAAGGGCGTTTTGTGGCTGCCGGAGGAGGTGGAGTGCTTGCTGGGGACCCTCCATGATCTGGAGGCAGGCCCAAGCGTCATGCCCTCAACCCACCTCGAGACGCTTGGAGTGTTCACAGAGGTTTTGGAGAGGCTTGCCGCCCAGGGCTTCCGCCGGACCGCCAGTCAGTGTCGCAGCAGGTTTAAACGGGAGAAGGCCACATTCTTTGAAGCCTTGGAGGACTGGGAGGGCATCCCTCCATGGGGGGAGCGCCCTCCCAGGTTCAACCTGCTGTGCGCCCTGTGGCAACAGGGTGGGCGGCCAGGATGGCGCCATCGAACCCCCTACAGTGAGTATTGCCCACCCTGGCCATGAACGTGTTACCATGGCCAGCGACTGTGCCTCCACCTGCTTTGTTCTCCCATCTTCAGGGCGTCGACAGGCGAGGCGGGTCCTGCCACCGTCCCCTGCTGGTGAGCAGCCTGCAGCAAAAGCCTGCGAGCCAGCCCAGCAGCACCCAGAGGAGCAAGGTATGTTGTACAGGGTGGCATGCTCAGCGGCCTGTGGTGGTGCAGGGCATGGCACTCTAAACATGTGTAAGGCGGCATGGGGTGGCATGGGGCAGGACCACACCAGTGGGCCTGGGCGTTCCCCCCTTGGCGGATCACCCCACAGGGGTGCCTGGCCGAGAGGGCGCGACAAGATGATATACCTATGCCACCAGGGGTGTGACATGCATGGGCCATGTTGCATATCTGTCTCATGTTCCCCTGCTTCCCGTCCCCATAGGGCCAGTGGTGGTGAGCTCACCACCTGAGTCGCCGCCCCCTGGTGGAGTATCTGAGGAAGGTGAGTGGGGGCCGCTGGGTGGGCCGACACATGCCGGAGGTCCGTGTGGTATGGGACGTGGGGAGAGGCGGGCCCATGGAAGCATCCCTGGCAGGCTGTCCCAGGGCCAGCCGTCCCCACTGGGTGCTGGGGCCGGCCCCGGGCCCTAGAGACGCTGGGCCGGTGCTGGGGCGGGTGGCCAGCCAGGGTGCAGTGTTGCCCAGGGAGGGCAAGTGGCTCCTCCCACTCCAGTGGCCCATGTCCACACGGATGGGTCCGGGACCTGTGTGTCACAGGAGCCACGATGGTGAGTGACTGCAGTGTTGTTTCCAGCAGGTGACCGGGCTGCGGTGGAGGCAGCAATGGCCACGGCTGGGTCCGCGGTGGTCATCAGCTCTGCCCCTGAGATGGATCCAGGTAGGCTGAGCCCCTTGTGTCCCTGGTGGTGGCCTCACTGTGGGCCCATACATAGCTCTCTCTTCCCTGCAGGAGAGGGGCCCTGTCCTCTTCACTCACCAATGCCTGCACTGGGAGAGGTCGCCCGCAGGCTTAATGACATTGAGGAGGCGATCCAGGAGATACGTGGGGCAGGTGGGTGCACTCCAGCCAGGGGTGCGTCATTCATCCGGTGGCTGGTGGCCGCTGGGTCTGGGGCGTCCTGTTGCGGCCGAGGGGGTGTCCATTGGCATGTAGTGGGTGGGTGCATTGGTGGCCTTGATCAATGTACCCGGTTACTGTATTCGGGGCCCTGCCGGGACATCTCTAAGGTTATGCCACTGACAATGTCGCCTGTCTCTTCTCTTGGCCACAGTGGAACGGCATGACCGGCGCCTGGGGGAGCTGGGACGGCTCTTCATTGAGCTGCGGCTCGATGATGCCCTACAGGAGCACTGGGGGGCCTTTGCAGGGGAGGGGGAGGTGCAAATGCTGGAGGAGAGCCAGTCGGAGGAGGGGAGTGAGGAGGAGGTCGAGGGGCCGCATCAGGCCATTCCGCCGGACCCCCTGCAGGCTGAGGACAGGGGTGTAGAGGGGGATGCTGACTAGCTGTGTGTTCGTGGGGCAGCTTGGTGTTTGTTTGGTGTGATCGTTGGTTGTTGCCATTAAAGTTGTTTATTTTGTTATTCTGTAGTCTCTGTGTGGTCTGTGGGCCCTCCTTCCCCCCTCCGTCCCCCCATGGAGTGCAGCCACGACACATCTAGAGCTGTGTTGGTAGGCACTTTTATTTTGCAGGCCACATGTGCAGGGGGGTGGCTGCCACTGTTTGCGGTGGTGGGCGAGGGTGGCCAGATAGTCCCTGTAGGTATGGGGGTCATTGACTCCTTGCCCCTGTCCATCTCCCCTGGATGGTCCCCCACAACTGCCACTGTGGACCCACTCTTGGGGGCCACAGTGCCACCTGCCTCTCCACGCGATGTCCCCATGTAGGCATTGCACTGTTCCCCAGCTCGGTACAGGGTTGGACGCATGGTAGACTTCTTGTATGGGGCAACATACTCCTGGAGGCTTTCGGATCGATGGCCACACAGGTGTGGGAGGTGCCGTCCACCACCAGCGCTGGCGCCTGGGGACACTGTGCACCCTATGGTGTGTGTGTGTGTGTGTAGTGCTCTGTCTTCTTTTGTTTCCTGCAAGGCCTCCCACTGTCACTTGATGCCTGGCTGCTGGCGGCCGTGAGGGCTTGCTGCAGGGTGTGGGCCTCGGCGCGCCCCCTGCCCACGGAGCCACGCCCTGCCCGCTCGCAGGGGCTGCCCGGCAGCACGCCCCCTGCCCCTGGAGCCATGCCCTGCCCGCGGGAGCTGCCCGGCAGCAGGCCCCCTGCCCACAGAGCCACGCCCTGCCTGTGGGGGATGCCGGGCAGCACGCCCCCTGCCCACGGAGCCACGACCCGCCTGCGGGGGCTTGCTGCCGGGGGCCACCGTGGCCACATGGCCCAGGGGAGCCTGCGGGGGCTGGCCGCCGGGGGGCCCCAGGGCCACGGAGCCAGGGGGAGCCTGCGGGGGCTGGTCGGCAGGCGGCACCGAGGCTATGGGGCCAGGGGAGGCTGTGGGTACTGGCTGGCGGGGGTCGCCGTGGCCACAGGGCTGGGGGGTGCTTGTGGGGGCTGGCCGGCTGGAGGCACCGTGGCCACAGAGCCAAGGGGTGCTTGCGGGGGCTGGCCGGCGGGAGGCACCGTGGCCACAGAGCCAGGGGGAGCTTGCGGGGCTGGCCGGCGGGAGGCACGGTGGCCACAAAGGCAGGGGGTGGCTGCGGGGGCTCAGCCACCGGGCCACGGCCAATAACGTTCTCCAGCAGCTGGGTGATAGCGCGCGTCAGATCCACTATGGCATTGGTGGATGTGTCCATGGACTGGCGCATTGCTCTCCGGTCCTCTCGGTCTGCTGCATTCACTGAATGCAAACCTTCTGGCTGCCACACAGTGCATTCAGGGACGCGGCCTTTTTATAAGCACAGAGCCAGTTTGGTGTAGTGGTTAAGTGTGCGGACTCTAAACTGTGAGAACCGGGTTTGATTCCCCACTCCTCCACTTGCACCTGCTGATGTGACCTTGGGTCAGTCACAAGCTCTGGCACAGCTGTCCTTGAAAAAGAGCAGTTTGTGTCAGAGTTCTCTCAGCCCCACCTACCTCACAGGGTGTCTGTTGTGGGGAGGGGAAGGAGTTTGTAAGCCGCTCTGAGACTCCAAGTGAAGGGCGGGGTATAAATCCAATCTCTTCTTCTCTTCTTCTTCTTCTTCTATATTTTAGACGCATGTCCTTGGCTTTTGAACGACACTCCTCCGCGGACCGGTGATGGCCTCGGGCAGCCATTCCTCTGGCCACCTCGTGGAACACGTCTATGTTCAGGCGGCTCTGACTTAGGGCGGTCTGGATGGCCCTATCTCCCCACAGGTCCAGAAGGTCCAGGATCTCCGGCCGCCGCCACGTGGGACCTCGCACCCCTGGATGCATGTACTTCTTGCCTGTACATGCATATGTCTGTTTGCAAGAAAGAGCAAATGTGCATTCATTTTATGAATGAAATCAGGGAGGAGTACCTGGATAAACATGGCATTTGTATCACATGTTCAGTTGTAAATGTGT